CCATCACGTCGCGGATGATCGTCGGAAAAATTACCCACTTCGTATTCGTCACGGTTGATGGCCCAAGGTTAGCGACAAAACCAAACGCCGCAAGCGTAGCCGGGCGGGAAATCATGCCTGAGGTCTGCGTCGCGGTTTCTGAGTAACCGAAGAGCGGTCGGACCTAGAAAGGAGAAACATCCCTCAAGAAAATGAGGCCCTGCGCTGGCCAAGCTGAAAAGCATTCGAGGGTTTCCCCCCCGGGATGCATTAAAATATCCAACGAACACGAAAACATTACGGTACCCTCCCCGAAACGACCTCGATGTTATACCTCGGTCCATCCGTAGTCGCACAACCCGTACTCCGAAAATCCGGCTCCCCTCCGCCGGGAGAGACGGGGGGCAGTATCCGCTGACCAGCCGGCACATGCGGTTTGTTTCCTCAGTGGGTTTGGCCCCTGCTTACCTGCGGCCGCAAAGGGCCCTCGTTTTCTTTGTTTTCCTCTCTCTATCTCTATTTCTCTCTTTCTCTATCTCTCTCTCTCTGTCTGTTTTGTTCTGTTCTGTTAAGGTGGTGTGAAAGTTCATCAAAGGGGGCCGCCGCTGGAAAACAAGGCATCAATGACAGTTTCGGGAGGCGCGCTCGGCGATTTGCCAGCGCAGCAGCCCCGACCGCGCAACTCTCATTCGATCACGGCCGACAAAGAAACGCTGGACAAGCGAGGGAAACGAAACATCGGGGGGGCGAGAAGCCGAGGAGCCGAGCAGGGGAAGGGCGACAAAGGGGGGCCCAGACAGGGCCGACAGACGGGGAGACAAGGGGGCGGGGGGAGAAACCAAAGCAGGGAATGCGAGGGAGGATGCGCACCACACAGGGGGGGGGGAGGAGGCCACGAAGAGGGAAGGAAGGAGGGAGGACCGAAAGCCGGAGACAAGGCAACAAAAAGGAAGCATACATAACAGGAAACGCACAGGAAAGCGAGGCAAAGACAAATGATAAATGTCGTCGATGCTGCGGAAGCGGTCTCTGCCTGCTTCCAACGAGCTCGGTCCTGGACCCGCTGCGTCGAAACGGTTGCGGCGTGGACTGGATCATCACATTCGACCTGGCCGTGGAAAGATTTGAAGGGGGACTCCTGTCTCCAGACTTTGAAACGGTGCTGGGTGGACCCCGCACCTTTTGTCATGGCGCCGCCCCTGTCGGCACCTCCACCGAGCGAGATGCCGCGCGCGCGGCATCTGCGCAGATGCCACCCACGCGCGCGAGATGTCCGGCAAAACGATGTAGACACACTCGTCTCCGGTTTTCTGCAGAACTGCCTGCGTCTTCCGTGAGGGCGCGGCCAGTCCTGTAGACTCGCCTCCGTAAAACACCAACATCCTCAGCGCTGCGACGTCGAATCTGCGCAATATCTGACATGCGTTTTGCTGCCCACCTGTTGAATTGTTGTTTCTGTTCTCTAGTTCAATTCCATGTTTCTGCAAGCCGCACAGCAGATGACACAAGAATTTGCGAGCCCGAAGCTTGTATCATCCTTCTGTAGGCATGTCGACACTGGGAGACATATTCCCAACGGTAGCGCACCTCGTCAGCCCGCTCCACTCGAACCCCCCACGCGGGCCCCGCGATCCCCATTGAGGTCGAGAACGTTGCCCACTAAAGAAAACGATTCTGACCGACGTATCTCTTCATTCGCCATTGTCGACGACCTCCCGGGCATCCGCGGCCAAGAACTCCAGCAAGTCCTCTCCGCTCCGACGTCGAGCCCCGCTGCGAAAACAAGAAAAACACTACCGCGTCTGCCAGCGCAGCATTTGCTTCGGACAATGTCTGAGCAACCAGAAGAACATCATCAGCGAAAGCGACTGCTCCGAGCCATCGCTTGTCAAGATATCAGCCGCCCCCCTGAGGCCGCCATTGGGGCGGCAGCGGTCGCGGCGCCATCTCTGACAAGGATGGGCACAATGCGCGACTCTGGCGCGCCTCGCGGCAGCCCCCGCCCGAGGGGCACCGGGCCCGACGCGACGCGGCCAGGGGCGAAAGCAGTCCCCGCGCTCATCAACGCGGCGCGCGGCGCGGCGGCGCGCTGCAGATGCGCGCCCTGGAGTTTAAGAGCCCTGATGATATCTGATCGCAGCGCTCTGCCAAAGCCTTGCACAGGCCCCCCCCCCCGCCCCGCGGCGAAAGTCCGCGGCGCGCTGCGCGGCAAACGCTCCGAGGGATGCGCGAACGCCTGGAACGAAGCCAGTCCGGTGCGATTCCAAGCGTTCATGTGGCAACGTCTGCACCCGCAGGTATCCCAATATCTTCCCGACCGTCAATAAGCGGGAAATGCCCTGGCATTTCGCCGGGCATGCCAGGCTGAACACTTCGGGGGGCAGGGGCGCCATCATGCGCGCCCGCGCTGCCGGGGCGCCGAGCGACGCGAGCGCTGAGCTGGGGAAAACGGCCCAAGCAGCAAGTGCTGTCGGGGGAAATTAGCGGCGCATTTCGGCCGCGCATCTGCCCCGCCCCCCCGCCCCCATCTGGAGATCCCCTTTGGCTGCGCGCAAGCGATATTTCCGCGATCCGCCGAGGCGCGAGATCAATTCGCAGATCTCGCCATATGTGAATGCAACGATACTTGCGGTGATTATCCGCGTCTGCTTGCGATCGGTCTTCGAATCCGTGGATCGATCTAACGCGATTGCCGAGCTTCCTCGCGGGGTTCTCACCGTTGAAAAGCTCCCCCAATTCAATTCGCAATCACATTCTTGCGGCAATCTGATGGCAAGGCGCCAGTCATGGCAACCTCTTGGATGTCTGGTCCCGTCTGCGGTTCTGGCGATGCCAGTAGATCGTGCGATTCAGTTCCCTCAGGTGCGCCTCTCGCGCGAGCGTCCGGCAGAGCTCGAAAATGCCCATCTCTGCGTTGTCGATGCTGTAGCTCGGCGCGCGCGCGCGCCGCATCCCACCAGGCCGTCGCGGTCGCGCCCCAATCTTGCCAATCCCAGCTGAAAACGGCCGACGACTCGCCCCAATAATCGCCCAGCGTCAATTTCCATTTGGTCGGGCAATAAGACCGCAGGACAAGAGCGCTATCGCAGTGGAGGTCAGCAGTAACCATCTGACGGTCGGTGGACACACGCATGCCATTCACAAACTGATAGTTCGCAAAATTGACGTGGATCGGAGCTGGAATGACATCGATTTGATTATGTCTATGCTCGGGGACGCCGTCGTCTGCCCACTGTGCCCGCGCAACCAGGTGCACGCCTGCAACGTGAGAAAACGTGCTTGTTAGGTACACGCCGTGATCAACCAAAGAACGGTATATATATATATATGTCCTGCCAGTTCTCGCTATTCAGACGACCGGGTGGCGGAGGGGAGAAAAACGCTACCTCCAGCATGGCAGACGTCGGCCGAACCAATCAAACTAGCATTTGCGTCTATGGCGATCATGGTTTTCTGATCGCGGCAACTCGCGGACAATCTGGCCACCTCGTCTAAGGCATCGGTGGAACATCCAAGGGGCAAGGCGGAGTGCGGAAGAAGTAGCGAACGCAGGATCTATTCACTGTCGAGTTCGACTGCGACCCATGGCCACACCCGCGCGGCCAAAACTGTCGCGCCTCCGCTCATGAACGAGAATTGCGGGCCGGCGGAAGTTGCCGAAGGGGGGGGCGGGAACAAACAAGTGGTTGGCCTCGTATAAGCGATTTCTCCCGCGCGGACGAAGCCCTCCTGCAAAAATGCTGCATCCCAAGGGCAATGGTCTGTTCAATGAATGTGTCCACGCCGTCTTCAGGAGCCCCAGCCACGTTCCAAGTAGCTACATGCCGTTCTTTGGAGGCCCCCTCAACAACGAACGAATTATCTCGAACTCCCCGGTCTGGTAATCAATGTGAGAACGTTTCGGCCTGCATCTTGTCGAATGCGAACCCCGATGATGATAAAACACCCTCGTCCCACACGAAATCGGAAGCGTCCCGGCCCCACTCTACGAACTTCCAATCCTCGACACACACGGCGGCCTACTTGTAGTCCGCGTCGATATCCTTGTCCGGGAAGGTCATCTTCAGATAATCCGACATATTGTAGAGTTTGGCATTGTTGCGGCGTTGCTCTGGGGTCTTGTCGGCCCTCGCCCAGATAGCAGAATATTTGTACTCTATGTTCATGGGCTCCCGCTTGGAAATGAAGTCGAAAACCGCGTCTTCGGAATGCATGCGGACCATGGCCACTGTGGAACGCACGTTGGGCGCGAAACCATGCAAACCCTTCCACTCTTCGACTTTGCCCAGCTCGCCGTTTCAGGAAACTCTCGATGTCCGGCTTGCGGGAGTGGGCAAGAAAACCTGTAAGGACAACAGCGGGTTTTAGGATCATGCTGCGCCCGGGTTTGCTGGTGGGGCTGTGGCCGAGCTCGCGTGGAACCGCCACCCAATGAAACCTCCTTGGAGCTCTCCGCGCGGTCCATGTTCTCCAGCGCTTCCGTGCCCGTGCGTGTCTTCAGGCTCTGGAGCTCTCTCATGCTCTTTTCCTCATGGTCTTGAAGACGTTTGTCCACTGTGTCGTTGATCAGTTTGCCAGCCTTCTAGAGAATGTCTTTGGAGACGTCGGCCCTCAGAGCCTTGCTCGCCTCCGTGATGATGCCGCGGATCACCTCGGCGGTCGCCATGGCTCCTGAAAAAACGGGAGTGGGAGTTCCCTGAGAGGGGAGTCGTAGATCTGTCATTCTTTCTTTCTTTCTTTCTCTCTCTCTCTCTCTCTCCCTCTCCCCATCTCTACCTTCTCTCTCTCTCAATTATTTATATATATCTCTCTCTCTCTCTCTTTGCCTCTCTCTCTCTCTGTGTCTCTCTCTCTCTCGTTCTCTCTCTCTATCTCTCCCAAGCGCGCTGGACCAAGGGAAACCCAGCTGAGTCGCAATCACGTCAAATGGCAATCCTTTCTCATCAGCAATGACTTGCCCGACTGCACCCCTGACTACCACCTGTGTCCGCTGCCTGGCCGCGGGTGCGGGTGATGGGCTCCTTGTTACTCGGGGCCGCGGCGCTTATCATGTGGCCGACTGCCTCGAAGTAGGTGCAGACATGCAGGTGCTCGAGCTCAGAGATATCCTGGGCGACGTGGGTCATCATCTCCTTCGGCGGGGGCGCTGGGCACCTAGGAGCGAGGAGCGGAGAGGAGCCTGTGCGAGAGGGGTACAGAAGAGGAAACGAGGGTCAGCATGGACTCGAAAGCGCCGCGCCATCGGAAGACCGGCTGCCTGGAAATCTACAGCTCGCCGAGGGAGAGCTCGGCCTAACTCGTTGACGACGAGACGAGATCGTCAATAATTCTCTCGAAGAGGCTGTTTGACGCGGGAGAATGTGCTGGCCTTCGACTTCGAAGCCCGACAAGGTACCCGTGAAGCATTACTGAGCCGCAAGATGCCCCCAAAATGATGGTACGCCCCCCGCCTCTAAAACTGCTTGCTTCTTGCCGTGAGTGTCCTGGATGCTCCCGAAAACAAAACTCCGAAATTCGCTGGCCTTGAAAGGCCAACTCCGTGCGAGAACCTGTGCGTGACGCCCGCGCTCACTGCACGGGCCAAACACAACATGCACATTCCCGTGTGCACATACGCTCTATAAAAAGCATCCGTAATCGAAGCGTCCGACCGCTGCTGCCTCAAGAAGAAGACGGGACACAATCCAGGAACTCTACACGATTCGGCTAAAACCGCTGCGCGAAGCAACCAAAAAATTCGTCACGATCCGACCTGCCGTGGAAACAAAAAACTCATGCCATGCACCGTGGCCCAAAAGAAGAACCGAACGTGCTGCCTGCAAAGACCCCCTGAGGCCCAATCAGTCCACCGTGTTACATACGTACACGACAAAGGGGAGGCGAGAGGGATTGCGGGAGGGAGAACAAAGAGCGAGGGAAAATGGGGACGGAGAAACAAGATGTGGCCCAGGGCGCGGATGAAGGTACCACCAGGACAACAAACCGCGAAGAGTCACGAACATCACACGGGAGCAGAGAAGGGCAAGGGAAGGAAAAGAGGCCATGGAGGACAGAGAAGGTCTCACCCTGGAGTCCGCAGGACCGACGGAGCATCGATGGAATAATGATTTAAGATTGATTGGGGTCGATCTCGCTTAGGTTCAGGCTCCCTCGGTGGTCTCGGACATGAAAACACTCCAACTCGATGCGCTGCAGAACCATTGCGTGCACGGGCTCTAGAAACCCCCAGAAACACAATCCAAGGCGTCCACCCCTTGCAGCATCAAAAAGCAACACAACTCGGATGTCAGATATGACGCGAGCGCACCCAGCTTGCCCGCCCTCGTCGCTCCCTCAAGATGGCGGCATTGTGGTTGTTGGAGAGCCTGGCTCGCCAGTAGACTCTCCTCCAGATGCGCACAGGGCCCAGAACAAATCAAGACGAGCACCCGAGATGGCCCACGAGGGGCCAACACAAGCCCTCGACGGCTCTGGATGGTCCAAGCGACATATCACAGGGAGTCAACGACAGGCATGTGTTCCCCGAGCGCCTCCCCCTACACATGTGTTGAAACTAGCAATGACGTATGACGTTCGTGTTCAGACGCATTCCGCGTCGGATGCGTCGGATACGGCGGATACGTACTATGTTTACGCCGACGAGACGGCAAGCGAGAGAGAGTCCCAACCTAAGCTGACGAGGAGGCAAGTGTCTGGACAGAAAAGACAGCAACTAACCTGCCAATCGAAAAAGACCCCGTTGCGGAAGGTCGTGCCCAAATCACAGAATACACATAGCAATAAACATGTGTGCAGAATCGCACCGACGCGCAGCCGCGTAATCCAACCGACCTCTGTGCGCAGGTGGTGTATAAAAAAGCCCTCTTCCGACCCCTTTTCCGGAAGACTTCCCCCCCCCCCAGCGGGGGTCAGAGCACGCCAGCCAGCCAGCCAGCGTGACGGCAGCCAGCTGGGAAAAAGGAACCTGTGCCTGACGGTCCGTTGGAGTCTGCCTGCTGACGTGCTCCGTTCCCACAGCTGGAAAGAGAAACAAGACACTGCTTTCGAGCGCGCGGTGGCAGGCGCGGGAAACCGTAAACCTCACTCTAGACGCTCCGTGTTGTCAGAACTGTCGCATGGCCACGCGCACATGCGGGCAAACATCAGGTCCGGCATGTCCCCCTACAGGCGGATTTTGGAGGAGCAAATACTCAAACATACACCCCCAAGTACTTAGTCTAGAAATTCGCCTGCCCAACAGGCTAGAGGCGTGCTAAGATCTCCGGTAACAGCTTTACAGTATTTCTACTTCGCGCGCGGGGGGCGGCCTCTGGGGGTCCCCGGAGGAAAAGTACCCCGGCAGGGTCGGATCAGAGATGGTTTTCTGTCTGGGCGCCGTCCTCGAGACCCTCCAGAGAGCCCCAGAAGGGTCAAGAGGCCTCCAAGAGGTCCCCAAGATGATACAAGAGGGCTCGAAGATGCCAGAAGATCGCACCAAGACGCCCAAGCTGGCCCCAGACGCCCCAAGAGGCCTCCAAGAGCACTCTCAAGAAGGCCCCAAGATGCAACAATCATTGCTTTCCCTTGGGTTTTGGAAAGATTCGGGTGTTTCCACCTTTTCGGCTTCCCGACGCCCCAAGACGGCCTAAGAGGCCCCCAAGATCGCCCCAAGATGGCCCAAGAGGCCCCCAAGAGGGCCCCAAGACGGCCCAAGAGGGCCCGAAGACGGCCCAAGAGGCCTCCAAGACGGCCCCTATAGCGCCCCAAGAGCGGCGCCAGAGGGGGAGCACGAAACAACATTTCGAACCATCGGTCCTGAGAGGCCTCCACGAAGCCGCAGGAGGCCCCTAAGAGGCCCCAAGAGGCCCCCAAGAGCCCTCAGGATGCCCCCAAGACGCCCCCAAGAGGCCCCCAAGAGGCTCTAAGAGGCCCCCAAGAGGCCTCTTGAAGGCCCCAAGAGGCCCCCAAGAGGCCCTTACGGACCGCGCATGGTCACGCGCACATGCGAGCAAACATGCAGGAGCACCCACGCCCACGCACATCGGCGGCGTCGACAAAAAACAATCTCGAATCGGGGGGGGGGAGCGAAGGAGGCGCCGCCCCGAGAGGTTGCGGGGAGGGAGGGCCCAGCGCCGGATTCCAGGAGTCCGCGCGGACCTCCGAACGTTTACTCGTAAGTCGGGCCTGTCCCCCTACACGCCGATTTAGGACGGAATATAAAGTTACCCCAAAAATACTCAACATATATTCAAAAATATGTTGAACAAGTGTCCCCAGACTATTTTTCTATAATTTTTGAATATTCCTCCTGTAGAAGGAGAGGCCCGCCTTAAAGTTACTAGAGGCCCCCCCGATGGGCTCGGAGCAGATGAGGTCAGAGGGTCTCGCCGCATCGGCGATGCAGCGACGACGTCCGCGTGGAGAAGATCGACCTCCACATCGAGCCGCATCGCCGATGTATCAGCGATGCGGCGCGATGCTCCGACCCCATTAACTCCGACACCATCTGGGAGGCCTAGATTTACGCGGGCTTGCAGTCAGTCGGGGTGGATTGAAGAGGGCACGCGAGAGGACACAAGACCCTTCGGAGAGCAGCATTGCCGCAGGAATGTAGAGGGCACGGGTCGCGAAACACACGACGCGAGGGTACCTTGATTTGGCAGGGTGGACCTATCATTAGAGCCCTCCTGGATGGGGTCGGAAAAAATGAGATCGGAGGATCGTGCCGCACCGGCGATGTATCGTCGATGTGGGCGAGGCATCGGCAACGTCGACGTGGCGCAAATCGGGCTCCACATCGCGCCGCATCGCCGATGCATCGGCGACGCGGCGCGATCCTCCGACCCCATCTACTCCGACCCCATCTGGGAGGCCTAGAATCAATCAGCCCCGACTGTATCCTCGTCGGCGCTGAGGATCGGTGGCGCGCCCGGGGGGGGGGCCTTTTCGAAAGGCGGCGGGGCTTCTCAGGAACCTCTGGGCCTTCCGAAAATCATCGAGAGCGAAAGAAGGACGTACACGTACATGAATCCACGTTGGTTTCGAGAATGCCCATTGCGCGAACATTCGTTCCACGCGGCTGGTCTCGCGGATTGGGGGGGCGTGTTCATGTGCATGGTTGGGCGCGTGCGTCCTTTGGTGGCTCCTGAGAGAAATGTTCTCTGTGGCCCGGGGACTTCCGAACCTTCCGAGAAGGCCCGCCCCTTCTCACTTCCCCCCCGGGCTCGCCGCCGAGAGGACGGGGGGGGGGAGGGGCCCTCCGTCCTCCACGAACGCGCTCTTCTCGCCCTGCTGGACGGCCACGAACTTCCTCGCGCCTGGCGCGGCCCCCTGTCTGATGCGCCTCCCTCCCCCCCCGCCCCGCTGCTCCTCCCCACCTCTCCGGTCTCCGCCGGCCTCGCCATGGTGGTCCAGGGGAGGAGTCGAGACTCCAATGCCCGTCGGTCGGAAGACGTGGGTAGACACATGAAGTGGGAAGGCGCTGGAAATAGATTGGGCTTCCGCCCGCCCATGTAGAGGATGGAAGAGGAACAAACGTTCGACTCTTGAAATAGGAAGGTGCCTAAAAAAGATTGGAATCTGGGAATCCAGAAATCCACCGACCCTGTCGGCGTGTGTGAGGGGCTTGGCTGTTCGAGTCTTCGTCTCCGTCAGCCGTCGTCTCCGTCGTCCCCTTTCCCTGCACACTCCTCCTCAAGCTTGTCAGCGAGAGAAAATCTAGCAATACCGTAATCGAGTCGATAAAAAGCCTCCTCCCTTTGATCCCTTCCCCGCGCTGGGGGGGGGGGTCTGGGGGGGTCCTGGGGGGGTCGCCACCCAGATACGTTGTTCCCCCCCTGGGGGCCGTGGGGCCTCAGAAAGTACCAAGACAGGCCAAGAGTGTCCCAAGAGGCCGCCGAGACGGTCCAAGGGGGTCCCTAATCGCCAAACGATCGGTCCGAAACGCCTTCACGCCCTCCAGACTGCCCAGGAGGCCTCCAGGACGCCCCAAGACGCCCCCAAGAGTACTCCCGAGAGGGCCCCAAGATGCCAAATTCATCAATTTGTCGCTGGTTGTTTTAAGATTTGGACGTTCTCGCCTTTGCCACTTCCAACCGCTCCACGACGGTGCCAGAGGCCCCCAAGATCTCCCTAAGACGGCCCATGAGGCGTCCAAGAAGACCCCCAAACAGCCCAAAATGACCCCAAGACAGCCCAGAACGCCTCCAAGACTGCTCCAGATGCCCCAAAGCCGGCTCCAAGAGCGTGCCCAGACGGGGGACCCGAACAAACATTTCGAGCCCTCGGCCCCACGAGGCCCCCAGGAGGCCCCTAGAGGTTCCCCAGAGGTCCCAAAAGGCCCACAAGAGGTCCCCAGGAAGCCCGCAGAGGCCCCACGAGGCTCCCATGAGGCCCAAAAATTCCTTCCCACTTCCGAAGAGACCCCAAAAACCATCCTTGAGGATTCTGGCCCACGTCCGCGTCGTCGGTGTTGCCGCCGCCGCCGCCGTTGTAGTCGTCGTCGTCGTCGTCGTCGTCGTCGTCGTCGTCGTCGTCGTCGTCGTCGTCGTCGTCGTCTCCCTTCAGGGTCGGCGGCACTGGCCGTAAGGCCTTCGCAATACCTAATTTCAACGACCGGCAGGTATCGCTTTGCTTGCAAGAGGTTGCCGTTTTTGGGCCTCTGGGGGCCGCCTCACTGAATACCGCTCTCTACACTGCAGCGGGGCATGAACTCGGACTCCCCCTTGCCGTGCGGACAAAGAGGAAGTCGAGTTCAGACCAGTCGTCGGAACTGCGCCGTTCATGGACTCAGTCTCCTTCCTGCCGAGCCGTTTCGCAGGCAGGGTGGCGGGGTGTGCCGCAGGCAGTTTTGTACGGCGAAGCGTGCTAGTCTTCGCGTCCCCTCGTGGGGGGTCCAGGCCCAACAGAAGCAAGGAGGCTGATGAGGATAAAACAGGAGAATGAGATAATTAGGTAGACAACGGAGGAGGAGCAGAAACGATGACAATGAGGAGGTGGGATGAAGGAGGAAGGGGGATACACGAGGAGAAAAGAGAACTGAGGGAGGTTGATAGGGGAGATGCAGGAGGATGAGGAATGAGGATCGATCAGAAAGAAAGAGCGGGCACGAAACAGTAGCACTGGAATTGAGAAGAGCATGCCGAGGACGGAGGACGGAGGCAGGAAGAAGATAAGAGCACCGCATACAGGTGACTGCACTAGGCATCGGGGCCACGGCTAGGGCTAAGCTTCAGACACTTCTGGCAAATCTTCAGGAACGTGTCCACCGCCATCTCCTGGACGCCTGTGCCGGAAGAGCCGAACAAAATGGGAACGAACGGGCAGGGGGAGGAGCCGAACGGAACGGGAGCGAACGGACAGGGAAAGAGGAGGGCGGGATCGGAAAGGAGAGAGGGAGGGAACGAAGGGATGGGAGGGAGGAGGACATAGATGATGACAGGGAGAGCAAGGACTACGAGCAGGACGAGAAGAAAGGGCGAGAGTGGGGCGAGGAGGAAGGATGGATGATGATGGCAACGAGGAGGATCAGGAAGGATAACAGCACTCGAGGATCTATGGACGCATAGTGTCATCACTGTTTCACTCAGCAGGGGGGTGTCGGGCAGTGGTCCTTTTCGCGTGCATCGGACTCGGCGATTGGGTCGACGCGCCTCGCGGACACTGCTCGAGTGCCGAGACTTGATAGAGGCCACTGCAACGACCCAAGAGGCCTGCGCCCAAAGAGGGCGCTCAGACGCCCCAAATATGCCCCCCCAGACGGCCTCCAAGAGGCCCTCCAGCAGGCCCCCAAGAGTAGAGGGGATGAGGTCCATGTTGAAATCCTCGCGAGTCGAGACCGCACGCTGAATTGCAGTGGGTCTTTGACTGAACCGCTGCCGCGCTGGCACGGTGGCGGCGTTTGCCGCAGGCAGCTGGAGACATGTACATGAAAACATGTTCCGCCTCCAGAACCTTGGGCGTGGCGTAATGGGGGGGGTCATAAATGGGGAGGTCAGAAACGGCCCCTTTCGGGCCACTCCGGAGCCCCCAGGGGGCTCGTTTAGGTACCGTTTGGGTACCTTCTCGTACCACCCTCGCCACCCCCCCATTTATCGCTCCCCCGTTACGCGACGCCCGAGAACCTTTCGCCGGAGGTCTTCCGCCGTCATCGGTGCCAAGGCGTTTTTTCTTGGCCCCCTGGGCCGTCAACGCAACGACCTGAGGTGAAGAGAGCGCACCCTGGAGAATGGGCTGCACGGATCAGTGCCCCTAAGCAAGAGTGACTCATCGATGCGCGGCTTCACGGGGACGCGGGGTGGCTAAACCTGTGGGCGCAAGCCGCTGCTACCTCTTCGAGCACAGCGATCGGGGGACCCCAGTGGGCCCGCACCAAGGGTCACTCCAACGAAAGGAAAGATGAAGCCAGGACGGGGATATAAACGGGTGGGGATACATCGATCATCTCTGAGAGTACGTATTGGCGCCGCGGCCTGGAAGACATCTTGGGCGCCGCGGCCTTCTCAAAACGTTCCGGAGACCTCCGAAGGCGTTCCGTAAAACTCTAGAACGGATTCATCCGCGTCCTTGCCCCATCCGACCCTCTCTCCTCACCTCGCCCGTCCCTCCCTCCACCTCCCCACACGCGATCTCCCGGGAAGGTCTCGTGCATGAACTCGAACAGCTTGAAGATGACCGTCTTCAAGAACTTCCAGTGGGCCCGCAAGAACCGTGGGTACTGCGGGTCGCGATGTAGTACCGCAGAGGCGGTCCCCGCGACCAGTGCGGACGCGGCCGTAAGAAGCCCTCGCACGAAACCCACCCCTTAAACTCCGCGCGCGAGGGGGAAAAGAAGGGGGAGGAGGGGGGGGGAGGAGGAGGAGGAGGGGGAAGAGGAGGAGTAGGCGGAGGAGGAGGAGGAGGAGGAGGAGGCGAAGGCGGAGGAGGAGGAGGAGGAGGAGGAGGAGGAGGAGGAGGAGGAGGGGGTGAGGGTGAGGAGTATGAGGAGGAGGAGGAGGAGGAGGATGAGGATGAGGAGAGAAGGGGAGACACCCAAAGACACCCCGAAGGCAACAGCTTCTGGACGCCCGCGGGAACCCACGACTCAGCGCGTGCAGGGAAGACACCCAGGGCACCCTGGCGATAAGCTTTTGGCTTCTCCACGCTCGTCCCCACTGTATCGCTGGGGGTTGCGCGCGAGAGGCCCGAGCACAAACAGCGAGGGGCTGCCTTGGCTAGAGTCGTGCCGCCGCGAGCGCGCGACGCGCGGCAGCGAAGCGAGAGTAGGCGAGCACCGCGACCCGCTGCGAACGACAGAGGATGCGACCAAGCGATGAACAAACAAATTGGGCAGGGACGATTAACAAACACACATCGGCTACACGCAAGAGTGACCCTGGGTAACTAAGAGTGACCTTTGGTGCGCGGTTGTTGGGGGGACGCTGGGAGACCGAGCACAAGCGCGCAAGACGCTGCTACTGCATTGCGTTCGGCGATCTGGGGACACATTTATGCCCGCACCAAAGGTCACTCCGGCGAAAGGTCACTCTTACGTCTACTCGAACACAGTCGTACCCAGGACAGAAACACATCATCGAAGAACATGAGACCCGCCACCGGCCAAAACAAGTAGAACATTCGGGGGTAACCTCCCCCAGGACGCACAACAGCATCCCACAAGCGCGAAGAACATTGGGGTATCCTCCCCGAACCGACCTCGATCTATTCCTCGGTCCGACAGTAGGTGTGCCTCGTTTGGGTCGCTGGCTGCGGCGTGGCGGGTTCGACGGCGACGACGACGACGAACTAGGAGTATCTTTGGATCGTCCACTTCCTCGTGGAGCGCTGCGACTCCCCCCTGGGCATGTCTTTATCTAGAGGGGGACAACGACACACAAATAGATAGACACACATCCCAACAATCCAAATATGTTCTTAATGGTCTGGAGTTTCGTCTCCCCCTCCACTTCCCATATTTTCCAACATGTTCTGGGAAATCGACGATTATTCCCCACCCGACAGGTTGGGGTCGTTAGATTTCACGAGCAGCCCCCCCCAGCCAACCCCATCCTGCATACCGCGGCTGCCAAACTTCAAGCTGTCCAGATGATCCCCGAGAATCCCTGGTGTCCCGCCTCGCGCCTGGCCAACCCCACCCTGCACACCGCGGCCGCCAGACCCCAAATTGTCCCGATGATCCCCGAGAGTCCCGCCTCGCGCCCTCGACGAACACGACAGAACACATCATGACATGCCATAACAATATATAACGGAACACAGCATGGCAAACCATAACAGTACATAGCATAACAGTACATAACATAACAAACCATGACATAACACACCATATCAATATCATGACAGAGTAGGGCATAACATAATATCGCAGAACATACCAGAGCATAACATGGCATACCATAAGATAAAATGACACATACATAACATAAACCAACCGACCATCACATAACACACCTTGACATGACATGTCATGTCTTTACATAACATCACATAACATGTCATTACACGGCAGCAGACAACGCAAAGCGACGACGAACACGCAGAACACAACATGACACACGAGAACATTACATGACATAACACGAGCATGCCAGACCATGGCAGAACAGAACACAGCAACGTCATGACAACATAGAGCACAGCATCACATCACATAATTTACCATGGCAGAACATGCCATAACCGAAGACGACATGTCACAACATAACATAACAGAGCCGATCATAACATAACACTACTAGGCATACCATACTCTGTCATGACACAACATCACGGAACATACCATAACACGGCAGCAGAGCACAACGACACAGACTATCATAGTAAATCATATTATATCATACAGAGCCAGGTCGCCTACAGGCATAACATCACGTAACATACCATAACGAATCATGGCATAACAGAAAACGACACAACACACAATATCATAACAACAACTGTCATTTCATAACACACACTGACAACATATATCATATCACGACACACCATCATAACACATGTCATAATACGACAACATGGCATAACACAACACACCATAGTATACGGAGCCGGGCCGTAAACATATTTACCATCACATAACATACCATGTCAGAACGTGCCAGGTAAGACAAACGCAAAACCACAACATGACATACTGGATCATATCATAACACGCAATGACATAACATATCATATCACAGCGTGGAAATATCACGGGACGTTTCATAACACGACAGCGGCGCACAACAACACAGAATAGCATGATATATCAACATATACTATACTGAGACAATCTGCCAACAGCTGCACGGACGAGCATACTACAACATAACCTGGCATACGATCGCATATCGCAACATAGTGCCACATACAACATATTACAATAACATCACACATTAGATGGTGACAGCGACGAGCAACACAACACCTGCTCAATCAGAAAAGAAACGTACACATGTGGAGGGGCACCAACACAGACGACACATGTAACGTCACAGGCGTAACGACGTCACGCCACCCCGTCGAGAACACAATATGACATAATATAACCTTATATGCGAAAACATGGCTACATGAAACATGGATGGACCGCTTGTTGAATCCAGCAACGGCAATTGTCGACCAATTCGGCGACCGCGCGCCGTCGGAAAACAAATGTTCACGGTTTCATGTCTGTGTTTGTTGTTCCTTCTGAGTGTTAGCCGCCTGGTCGCATTGCGGCATTATGGGCTTCACCCCCTCGTTGTTACGTATGCATATATATATATAAGAGGAAACAAACTGGGGGTGGTGTGTCAGCACGAAGATGAGTGGGGCAACGGTGCGACGAAGTATCGGCATAGACTAGCGGTTTCAATCAGATCGTGCTCGGTTTGCTCGGTCTGCCCCAGGGCGGGTGGCCCACGTGTACCACATCCGCCACGAACCCGAGACAACACTACATTCAAAAAGCGAGGGGGGCGACGAGGTAAAGGAGGAGGGAAGGAGGATGGAGGACAAGGTGAGGAAGAAGGACTGGAAAGCGGAAGGGCGAGCGCTACCATAACGACGAAGATGAGAGGGAAGCGAATGAGGAACCATCTATGTAGTCGGCGTTCCACCCTCGATATCGGCGCGTACAAACAACATCGGAAGGAAACTATAATCGCACAAACCCTTCATGGGAGTAGGTGATCTGGGGCGTTTTGTCTTCCATCTGCCCCTCTCCCCCTTCGGGGAGGCGTTTGGCCTTGCGATCCCGACATTAATCCCGCGGGATAATAAAACTCGGGGGTATGGCGGGGATAATCAACGATTGCCCCGGGGAAACTGATGTTAGTTGAGTTACGGTGACGATGACGATGACGATGATGATCCCAGGCGCTCGCGCAGACTGACCTTGTGAATCTTGGCACAAGACTGACTCGAGAGATCTCGAGGCTCGTGGCTACGACTTGCCTTCGCACGGGACTTGGCGCTTCCGGCCAAGAAGCCTTTCTCTTGCGCGCAGCCTCGAACCACTCGCCCACGCAAGCTCGGCATAATTCGGAGCCGTCCTTGCGCGGGAGGCACTTGGCGCAGGCCTGGGCGGCGGCGCTTGCCTCCTCGACCGCCGCGGGACCCTGGAAGGGCTTGGAATTGGCCCTGCTCTTGGCTTGGCCTTCGCCAAATCGTTGTCGCTGGCCTACTTGAGCGCGTTGATCCACCACTCGTTGCCTCGGGCGCGCATCGCGCTGATGCTCGCGGGCGCTTGGCGGCCGTCGCCTCGGATCTCGCGCAGGGCGCGTTCGATCCATCGACTCGTCCACGGGCCGCAGGGCCAGGCGCCGGCCTGGGACATCTCGCTGCTCCTCGCAGGGCAGGTCTCGCCAGGGCCAACGGCGCCGAGCTTGCGGGGAATCCTGGCGGCAGCCATGGGAGGCCGCGCGCGAACCCTGCCCGCGATTTCTGAGGAGGGGGGGGCGGGGCCCACTTCGCAGCTCCCGAGCAAAGTGAACCCTGCCAGCCCCTCAGACATCGCGGGGCGCAGGTGCGAGTGCGCGCGTGGTCATTTGGGCCTGCTTGGCGTTCTCGGGCGGCTGCTCGAGGGCGTCGCGGCGCTCCGCCGCGACGCCCCCGCTGACCCCCAAGACCTTGGCGGGCGTTGCAACGAATGCCCCCTGCCCAGGGCGCCCCGGTGATCCGCCTCAGCACGGGGCGAAAAAAACTACAGGCACCCTGGGGCGGGGGCAACTATAGCAACCGCCGGCCTTGAGGTAGGTGTAGTGCGCGGGCGCCTCGGAGACACGCAGATGCGGACGTGCTCTGCCTTGCCGACCACCAGGGCAGTCTCGGGGGCGCCCGCGCGATTCTCGATCGCGCCCGCAGAGCGTGCACTGTGGCCAGCTCGAGGGCGTCGCCCTTGACGATGTGCTCGCAGTTCATGATCGCGTAGTCCTTGGCGAGCTCGGCGCGGCGAGCCAGTCTGGTCTGGCGCCAATCTACTTGGGGCGGCTCGGGGAACCTGTAGTCCCACTCGATCGTGACCTGTGGCGCTCGGGATTCACAAGCACTCGCGAGCTTCCGCCTGCTTCCGATTCGTGTCGCTGTCCGCATGCTTCCGCCAACTCTCCGCCAGCGTCCGCCGCTTCCGCCGTCGCTTCCGCCGTTTCGGCTAGCTTCCGATCGCATCCGCCGCCTGTCGGAAGCAGGCGGAAGCTCACGAGTGCCAGTGAGCCCCCCAGCCTCGCAACACTCGTTCTGGAAGATCGCCGCGGTCTC